CCATTATTTCCTATGGATCCCTGCAAAATTTTAGCATCTCTCCCAACTCTGGCATTGAAGTCGCCAAGGAGCACAACCTTGTCTTCTCTGGGGATAGAGGTTAGCACTCTGTCGAGGTCGGCGTAAAAGGCCTCCTTGGTGTCATCCTCTGCATCCAGTGTTGGGCCGTATGCAATGATGAAAAAAGAATGACGTGAGTGATTCAGTGGGACTCGAAGCGTCATGAGACGCTCATTGATCCAAATAGGCATTTTAGTTAGCCTGTGTAGGATGCGTTGGCGGTTGGCAAAGCCAACTCCATAAATGCCGTTTCTCTCCACAGCAGGCTTATCCTTCCAGAAGAAGGTGTAGCCAGACCCCCGTTCTCTTAGTTAGCCCTCATCTGGGAGCCGGGACTCACTGATGGCTGCTATGTCGATGTTGTACCTAGCCTGCTCTTTTGCCAAAAGGGCAGTTATTCTTTCAGGATGTACACTTCTGCCACTATCCAGAAGGGTCCTGACATTCCATGCAGCGACTATAAGTGGTTGTATATTTTTGGTTTTTTTATCTGTGATTTTGATTGTGTTTTCGACCGCATAAGGATGACCTTACCGGGTGCGATTGCCCAGTCAGGTTGGGTTTTTAGGCAGGCTATGTTTAGGGCACCTTTTCTTGCCCCCTCCCCATGTGGGGTGAGCAGAGTGGCTCCTCGGAAGGGTTGCTCAGTCTTACAGACAGGACCGGATTGCACTGCTACCTAGATCCCAGTGCATAAACGACCATCTTATCTGTACAGCCCATGTACAGAGTTGTGACTAAAGACTGCCGGCAGTAATCTCTGCCTGTCCCAGTCGCCACTCGTCCATTGTCATAGTTCTTTTGGGGGTGTAGGGGTTTGATGATGATGAGAGGTATGATGAGCTGGATGATGGCTGCGCGTGAGTTGATTTATGTGGTGAGGCAGGAGGGCAGGCTGCAACCACACATCTTGACTCTCCGTTTTCCTGATTCAGTGGTGCAAGTGTTGCAATGAATGGGGATGGGGAGAGTTGCAATGGACTGCCGATAGCCCAGTTTGTTGGGTTTCGCCTAAGTAGCCTGTCCATCAGGCATTGCCTTCGTCCGCCGGTGTATTCATTGGGGTTCCATGGTGGTCACCTCTTCCGCCTACATTGCCGTTGGGGTCTTGTTGGAGCTCTGCAAACACGTCTGCCTGATGCGGGGCTCCACCGTAGATTATTCGTTCCGGGGTATTGGGGATTACTGGCCACTGCGCCGTTAGGCTATTTCGGCCGAAGCTGATTGGTTGTCGACTAATTTGATTTGGACTTCTTCCGTTTCTTGTTTCTTCTCTTACTTTTCACTTTCCATTCTTCTTCTTGGTCTTGCTCGAGAAGATTTTCGTACACTTCTATAAACGGTGTTAATTGTAGTCTTATAATATCGGATTCAATTTTGGCTTCTTCTATTTTCGCGGTCTTTTTGGGGTCTTGATTTTTCGTTGTTGTGATCTTGATCTGGTCAGGCTTGGTCTTCTCTTCATTTTTCACTATAAGGAGGGCCTCCTTGTAGCTCAGTCTTTCCTTAGTCCGCAGCTTGGCCACCCTGCACTCCTCCCTCCACTTGGGACACTCCCGGTCGGAGGAGGAGTGAGGGCCACCACAAGCTGCGCACTTCTTGGCGGCCGCCGAGCAGTTGGTGTCCTGGTGCCCGGGTGTCCCGCAGCGGGAACACACCTCCCGAGCACGACACTTCCGCGCCAGATGGCCGTACCTCTGGCATTTGTAGCAACGAGTAGGTCTTCGCTGGTACGGTTTTATTGGGATCCTCTCCCATCCCAGCAAAACGGAGCTAGGAAGTTCCTTTGGGAAGCCAACCAGGGCAGCTGTGCTGGTCAGCTTCCGAACTACTGAGAGCTGGTCTCCGATCAGCTCGGTCAGTTCTTCTTTTTCCAGATGTTCGATTTCTGTGTGGGAGATGACTCCCAAAACCAAGTTGTCCTGTAGGCAGGCTTCAACTTGGATCTGGATTCCATTGATTTGTCTTATGTTTTCTAATTGCTGGGCCTCTCCCCATTCCGCGAAGGTGGCAATAAGGTCACCGCTGTCACTGCGGACGACCCCTGTCACCCCCGTGATTCCCGAGGAGTAAAAAAACTTCCTCAGGACAAGGAGGTTGAGTTCCTTGCGCGAAGGGCGCTTGACTGGATACAGTCTAACGACCTTCGCCTGGTTGCAGGTGAACATGGTCACGTGGTACCTTGGGAGCAGAGAGAGCCTACCTCGCCGAGGTTCAGTTCTCGATTGTTCGGGGTTTAGTCCCGTAGCCTTATACCTGCCAAGGTTAATCCGCCAGGCAGTGGGGTGGTGGTTGGTAGGCGCCAGGACGTGTGCCCATGCCTCTGTGTACTGGCAGGAGGAGACTTATGCAAGTTACTTCCCTGTTTGCCACGAGGGCTAGCCAGCGGCGGCAGTTGAAAGCGAGAGGGAGCAAGCAGTGCTTGCACCTTAACACTAATATAATGTTGCCACACTAGACGCATATATATATATATATATATATATATATATATATATATATATATATATATATATATATATATATATATATATGTAAATATATATACAAGTAAATCACTGCAGGTGCCGGTGATTCAGGTATAACCAAGCGAAAGAAGAAATCAGCCAAGTGCTGTGCAATCACATCTCGTGTGAGCACATATCACTCACCCTGAAGATGCAATGAATGAAAGGCTTTGGAAACTTGTGTTTTTTTCTGTATATTGTATATATATATATATATATATATATATATATATATATATATATATATATATATATATATATATATACACATACATATATATATATATATATATATATATATACATACATTACATATATATATACATATATAAGCATACACACATACATAGCATATATATACATACATGTTATATGCTGTTGGCTATTAATATATATATATATATATATATATATATATATATATATATATATATATATATATATATATATATATATATATATATTTCTATATAAATCATTAATGAAACGTGGATAAGATAAATTTGATATAAAATTGCCACGAAAATGGAATAATGGAGTACTCTTAGCTTTTGCCCTTTATTCACAAGACATTTTCAGAGGCACCAGATTATATGGGAAGAGGTTGAATATATGGTGACCTAAAAACATGAGGTCAGGGTCATAATGATGATCCACTAATCCCCACACCAAATATAATCTGTAGGAGCTTGGAGAAGGTGGGTGATGACTAGAGGTAAGATGTCAGAAAAGGGATTCCTAAAAATAATCTGTCTGACATCAAGATCAAAGGTTTTCAAATAGTTTTTAACTTCTTGTAATTTGTTTCTGACAATAGATGTTTTCTATTCATTTTTTATCAATCACCTGATGTCTACCATAAATGTCAGTTTTTTGCTATGTTCCTAGAGATGTCTGCGTAGTTTTGTGACTTCTGAATTTATTGACGACGAATTTTAAACACATTTGTTCTATTGCATGCAAAACTTGGGTACCTTCTTTGTGTTTGTTGATCGTTGCTTTGTTAAAACCTTTATATTCCTCTGTAACCAGACGTTCATAGACTTAAGAATATTTGACTTCTGGGTCTTATCGTGATGAATTTGTCCTTTGTTCGTCATAAGCTCTAAAATAATGTTGTTTTAAGTATGACTCAACCATTATCATATTATGTTAATAAGGAATAGTCAAGTTTTAATGTAATGAAGTGTTTTATTGTATTCCATGGTAGCCATGTAATTGTATTTGTATATCAGATAGAAAACACTGCGGTCGTGAATCAAACAACATATATAATATCTGAACTGCATCTTTGAGCAGTGCCTTGTTCGTTCATGTGTTAGAATAATAATCACCATTGTTTGGGAAAGCTTAGAAGTTATTCAAATATCTTGTGTGTCACATGAAAGACTTTGCTGAAGCTAGTTTGATTAAGGAATTAAAATCAATAAACCTTAGTGATGGTCAGTTCAAAACTGATAATATGTTACATAAATTTATTTGTCAGGCCCAAGGTTAAACTGTTGAAAACCTTTTGATCTTGATGTATGACAGTTATTTTAGGGTCCTTTTTTTCTGACCTTGACCTGTCTAGTCACGTCACCACCCTTCTTCTTTAGCCTCTACGGTTGTGTTAGTGTGTAGATTAGTGGATGTCATTATTATGACCTGACTCTATGTTTTTAGGTCACCCTGTATATTTAAGCCTCTCTCTCTCTGTCCATGTAATCTAGTTGCTTTCTGAAGATGTCTGAATAAAGACGAAAAGCCTAGGTACCCGTTGTTTCCATTTTCCTGCGTGATTTTATCAAGATATATATATATTTATATATATATATATATATATATATATATATATATATATATATATATATATATATATATGGGTTATATATATATATATATATATATATATATATATATATATATATATATATATATATATATATATATATATATATATATATATATATATATATATATATATATATATATATATATATATATATATATATATATATATATATATATATATATATATATATATATATATATATATTCTAAGATTTAACAAGACATAATGTTGCAACAGTGTAAGCTAAAAACCCTCACAATTGACCATTTTTTATGTGGAACGCTAATTGTTAACTGAAAAACCAGGGAAGATGAAATTCACTCTTTAATAAAAAAATAATTCGTTCAAGGAAATATATTTAAAAACAAGCAATATGTGAAGTGATTGAGAAATAATATTTGGCAGAGAATTTATTTGCATTAAAATGCAAACACAAATTATATCATAATTATTAAATACATGTTATTCAAACACCATGAAAATAAATCCACTTAGAAAATATAATTCAATAAACTAATAATGAAAAATCATATACCATAAAATGCGAATCTGCAGCAGTAATTAAAGCATATTAACACAAGTAGTATACCGTTGAGTACCTGTGTAAGAGAAGTACTGGGCAATTATCATGTTTATGACTATCTCCAGGTCCATGATGACGTGGTCACCGCGCCTCACCAATGTGTCGATAGCTTGTGGAAATTGCGACAATAACTTGTACTTGATCCTGCCCTCAGCCTCCTTTTCTGCAATCTCGCGGAAGATGCCAGACTCCACAGACTGGGAATGATCGTGATATACAAGTATAGTATTCTTGGAAATTAATAAAACTGATGTCATATGTGATATGCTTAGGTCTAGTTTTAAATATATGTGTATGTTTCTTTTAACATGTAATGAAAGGATATGCATGTATATATATATATATATATATATATATATATATATATATATATATATATATATAACACGAAAATACTGGACATTGGAAGAGTTGATCTGCCATATCATGGAGGTGGAGGGGTCATTCAGCACATCCCTAATGGTCTGGTAGGGCTGTTTGATGTGTCTCACCGCCAGACTGGACATAAGGTTCCCAGCGTAGCTCTTGATCAACACCAACGCCGTCACCATCCATCCCGCCACAACTGCTCGCCTCCACCACTCGCTGCCCCGTACCAGGTTGTCTGTGTGAAAGATGGTTTATGAAACCCTGATGTGTTTATGACACTTTGTGTAGCAGTACCTCTATTTGTACTCATTTACGTAGTATTAATGTCTTTTACTTTTTAATAGATATTTCATAATGTTGATTAATATTGACAAAAAACATGTGTATCGCATTTTCTATGAGCGACATAAGATTAACCTTGTTGTAACAATATGCGAATGAGGTCAAAAATAGCCTTCGTCCATGTGTGTTGATTAACAGCTTTAAATGAGAAGAATGATGACAAGAGGAATATGACCACAGGCAGCAGCAACAGCACCGCCAGGATGGCCGTCCACACCTGCGGCGTGAGAGGCAGCAGGAAGCCCCAAGGATCCACCTCTGGGAGTCCTCTACTTCCCATGATCCTCGAGTACTGTATCATCACTGGCCAGGTGAAGTCCACCACCTCAGTGCGGCTCTCGGTGATCCCGAACGGTCCAAGTGCAATATCCGCTTCCTATGTGGGGGAAGTTTGAAGGAAAAAGAGCATAATTAAGTTCAGGTCATCAAATTATTCTCAGTTATGGATAACTATTGAAAATTGAAAAAAAAAAGACTACAACTTGGAATTCAGCCTACAGTAAGGCCAGCTTCACACGAGCATGTTTTTCTCGCGCGTGAGGACACGCGCACTTTAAAAGTTAATAAAGTTCACACAGAGCACGCACGGGAGGCACTTATCCCACGCCTGTACTTCCAAACCTTGGCTTAAAATAATACGACGAGCGTTCTGGAATTTCTTAAATGGCAATGGAGTACTTCAGGCGAGCATGTTGTGCCCGGGTGGGTTAATCCTCGTAAAAAAAATATATAAATTTGGAACATGAATTAATCCCCCTCATCCAATTGTAACTACATTATTTTCATCTGGCTAGCACTAGACGATTACACTCAGCTGAGGAAACCCCAATTATCAAAGTGTTATTTTGCACTGTAATCTCTCCCAACTGATTTACATTTTCCCTCCTCACCTCCTAGTACTCCGTCTCACCCCACAAAAAGACAACATCTCCCTCTCGCTCACTAGTGAATGAATCAATTTCGCACTTCAGGGTTCGGGGGTTCAAACCTGAGGTAGAGAGAGCAGTGGCAACGCTAGGTGGTAAAGTTAGGAGTGGAGCCAACTGTACTTGTCTCTCCTCATCCAGTTTCCTAGCTTTAGGGAATTTAAATTTGAACCTGCCAACAGCTCTCAAGTATTGCCCTTCCTCAAGTTTCCACCTAAATATTTGCAGCGTGCGCCATAAAATCCACATTATTCTCTGTTCTTCATCCCTGGAAATCGTTGAAATATCAAAGTTTTATCATGTTGTCTGTAATTTGATATACATCCCGATACAGTGTATTTATCAGGCATTGTCACAGGCCTTCACACCACGACGGCTAGCTGCTCACTGAAATCCTACCCAGAACACCACCCCCCCGGCAGCCGACCGTAATGACGTCATGCGTGGCAAAGGACGAATTTTCGATTCGAAGTGGGTTGACTTGGTTTAATTACACTTTGGTTATCAGCATATATTGTTATGGATCACACGCACCTATAGTGATTTATTTGCATATATATATATATATGACGTATATATATATACGTCATTGGTTATTATACTGGATTGTGCAGTCAGAATTTGGGGAATAGTTATCTGACTTTACGAGCAATAATCACACCTAGGATAAATCTCAATGTTACGATATTGCTACTGCACCATCAGAGTTTGAGTGGAGTGGTGAGAGGAGAATATCTGAGCTCAGAGCGGCTCGATGTAGTGTACCTGGAATTTTTTCTCAGGTCGCCCAGGTGAAGAGTTATTGTTTTTGGTGTTGAGTACGGAAGAGAGGAGATAGGCCGCCATCTATAGAATGTACCCTCAACCTGGTTCATCCTACAGTGTTGGGTGCTTGAACGAGCCGCGGCACCATGAGGTTGGGATAGGGAGTGGTAGGTCTACGCGCTAGCCAGGACTGTGACTGGTGCCTCAAGCTAGCTCCAAACACGGCGCGGCGCGGTTGCCTGCCGAGCAGTGCTTGCCAGAGATTAAGGATCATTACATCTCTGGGGTACACCAGGCCGCCGCATACCATGCAGTTGGCTCCACTCCTGCGTTTACACTTAGCGTTGTTAATCCTCTCTCCCCCCAGGTCTGAACCCCAAACATGATTGTTGTTTGGACCATGGGCCATAAACCCCGGATATTTGGGTCATGGGCCACGACCTCCGTACATTTGGGCCATAGGCCACGAACCCCGGACCTTGGGCCACGACCCCCGGACGTTTGGGCCATGGGTGAAAGTAATATAAATAAAAATATAATAATCTAATCTAACCTAACATGAAGGCTCCAATGGAAGGTCATTAGGGGTATTAAAGGGAGTGGACCAAACGTCCACCCTACATACACTTCGTGACACAGACGTCCGGATACAATTCTGGCGTGAGTCTGCCTATGCGATACAGTTAGCAGATAATGGATTAATTATCAGACAAATATGATTTTACTTGATACGTTCATGACCGTTGCTTAAAATACTGAGTATCATTCGTATTTATATTCTCATTATAATTGCATCATCGAAATGAGATGACAACATTATTTTAATCTGTATATTGTCAGCAACCCAGAGTAGGAGTTGGGTGGTGGAGGCAGAGAGGTGCGGAGTCCCATGCACAATGTACTGTAGAAGCAATTACATTAACTTTATCATTTACGACCATTAAGCAACAGCTATATCGCTTTGCACCAAAAATTGCACATTTGGTGAAAATAGTTAATATCACAGTTTGGCACAACTGAACTATGTGGTTTGCTGATTTTATACCGGACAACTGCCAGCTCAAATATTTTTCTTCACATTAGGTTTGTATTGCAATAAATATGTAGTGCCAACTTCCTGATTGTTTTGATTGCTTATTAATCCTTTCACTGCGATGTTGAGAGATGTTCCAGAAATTACGCTCCTTAATACTGGAGAATCAACGCGCACACTGGGAGGCAGACTGGACCTCACATTCATCTCCACTGGGCTCGTTCTAGTAACCCAGTGGGAGGTAGATACTGAACAGACCAGCGACCACTTCACAGCGGCAACTACTCATAACCAAGAAAGTACTTCAAGGTGAGCTACAAAAATGGTATTCGAACTATGGACCAGCAGAAGACATTGACCAACTAAACCAGGACCTCACTCGTTAAATCATTCAAAAATTTAAGGAAGTCAAATGGCTCGAGTGGAATGCAGCCTTTAATACACACACCAACATGAGTGAATTTTGGAGAAAACTCTGGACAGCAACAGGTAGACCGCCCAAGACTCCAGCCTACCCCGAGCCAGATCAAGAAGCAGAATGCTCATCATCAGTTCAACTGCCTCCCGATGTAAGACTTCACCTACAGCAAGTACAACTCGAGAGAAAAGAAGTCAGATAAGTTCTTGAACAACCTGATACCACAGAGTGTCTGTTTACTATAGAGGAAATCAGAAAAGTCAAGAAAACAAACAAAGACACCGCCCCTGGCAGTGATGGTATAACTTATTCATTACTCAGCAACACAGGACCTGCTGGTGAACTTGCTCTTCTCACAGTTATCAATGTGTCATGGTTAGCAGATAGGCACCTGACAGCTTGGAAAAGGGCAAACACCGTTCCCATTCACAAACCCGATGATCCCCAGAATTTCAGACCAATTTCATTTACATCATGTATCGGTAAAACTGTTGAAAGGATGATCCTAACACGACTTCTTTGGAAAACTGGACCGCTTCACCATCACATCTTTGCCTTCACCAAAGGTGCTAGCACCGCACACAGTTTGGCCAATTTCCTTGGATCGATTAGTCAAAATATGGCAGTTGCTGTATTCCTTGACCTAGAAAAAACATATGAGTTGGCGAATTCGCAGGCCATCGTAAGCAGTCTGGCCTGGAAAGGCGTCAAGGAATGTTTACTAGCTTGGATTGTTGACTATCTTCAAAATATATTATCAAAAGTTACTTGTCAAGGACAAGCTTCAGAGTACCACAAGGAGAAGTTCTTAGTCCAACTCTCTTCATCATCCTCATGGGAACTTCCGTCGGTTCCCCTTCCAAGAAGGTGCCAGGCTGCTATGATATGCTGATGACTTAGCACTGGTGATAAAAGGCAGAAATCAGATCACCAAAGACTAAAGGGCACTAGATCTTATCAATCGAAAGCCATGAAGATTGGACCCAGTGATCCAGAGAAACACCTGCAATTGCAATGTACATGCCCTTCAATGGCCAGTGTATGCAAATACTTAGGCATCACCATTGACAAAGGCCTCAAATTCTCAATGAGATACACTATCTAAAAGAACGAATGGGCAAGGGAATCCACTTGATGAGAGCTATGACAGGACCCAAGGTGGATGCGAGGCATGGAGTCCTGAGAACGTTGTATATACACACCATTCGATCATTAACAGATTATGCGGCACCAGCACCGGCTCTTAACACACTCTCAGAGTACCAGTGCAAGAAATTCGATGTTTCTCAGAACAACGCTATGAAAATAATTGTCAGGGTACCAATATGGACAAGAATTGAAAACCTGCACATGGAAACAGGTCTCACATCTTTCCGATCCATAGCGGAACGATTAACAGCAAGCCTCACAATACAATTGATTATCAGGGCACGGGAAAGTGACTCCTAAGAGCCCTGAAACTTGAGAGAGGTCTTCGATAAAACACACATCGCTATTGTGTGCAGCTGACACTGTGAATCGACTGGAATTGAAAGACAATCCTTAGTAAAGGCCCTGACACGATGAGTCCAGATTACAGTAGTCCAGCATCGTAGGAGTCACCGCCAGCAGTCTTCAGCATTCTAAAATCTAGAGCAAGTAAGGCTGACTGGAACACACACGCAAACTCCGACAGGTAGCAGAAAGAAACATGAAGGCTGTAACACCGCGCAATAGTTTAGTGTATTACACAGATGGTTCCGTAGAATCCAGCAATACGAAGGCAGGAGAAATCTTCACCATAAAAGGGGACACAGACCTTTGGAGGACTTCAGATGGATATTCCACTTTACAAGTAGAGCTATCTGTCAGTCAACAAAATGTTGTAATACACATTGACTCTCGATGTGCTATTGAAGCATTACCGTGTTGAGATCCTAAAGACAGCATTCATCTTATAACAACCGTAGTTGGTCTACTGCAAAAGTGGTAATCTCAGGGAATGAACGAGCTGACGATACTGCCAAGGCTGTTCTAGGGCAGCGAAACACTGTGATGGACATCCCACCAAGTCAGGAGCAGATAAAATAGACCACAATAACACTAACTGTCAAGTGAAAAATAGTAAGACAGAAGATTAACACCTGAATCACTATGGTACTATCTGGTCATGAATAATGAGAGACCACCAATCATGAAGGATATGAGAAGATCGGAAGACGGCATCCTTCACTTACTGAGATTGGGCTACCCAAGCAAATGGGAAATGGGTATAAAAGTACCAGCAGACGAATTCACGTGAAATACCTGCGACAAAGAAGCAGACAACTCACTGCAGCACTGCTTCATAGAGTGTCCTGGTAGACATTTAGTTAGGAGAAGCTTGCAGTCCCCTCTCACGAGGTGATAATGGATAAAAGCCCCAAACAGACCCACAAACTTCAACCTCCCCAAGAAATCACAACTCCTATACAACTTCCTAACAGATAAATGATAAATAAATTAAAAAAACAAAAACTCAAGACTATTTTTCACTTAACGCAGGCGTTCCACAAAGATTAGTCCTCTCCCCAACACTACACATACTTTACACTAAAGACCTGCCTTACCCCATGCATACCGACTCACTGACCACACAGTACGCCAACGACGGAACACAACCAGTCAGACACGGAACAGCACTAGACTACCTCACAGAAAAGACACATAAGGAACTCGATCAAGTTATAAAGTGGGAACTCAAATGGCGTATACAAACAAACTCCAACACATCACAAATCACCTAATTTGGCACCCAAAAGACATCAACCTCTCCACATATACGTAAAGCCCTACTACAACAACCCAACACCCATACCTATAAAACAAACAAACAGAGTACTAGGTGTGACATTCGACCACACTCTCACCATGAAACACCATCTCATCACGAAGGCAGCAATAGCACAGAAGGCACTCACAGGCATACAAAGATTCAGAAGTGCAACAACAAAAACCAAATCACACTTGTACAAAGCGCTAATACGCACCCAACACACCCCAATCAGCAGAACCAACCAACATGAAGAAGCTGCAAGTCATACAGAATAAATCACCGAGGTTCATACAAATCACACACTGGACATCATTCATGGAGACTATTAAGTGACAAACAGAAAGAAAAACTCCAACCACACCCATAATGGCAGATACAGAAACACAAACCCCTCCATACTAAACAGACTCAATACGCCATACCCACCCATTCTATAATAAAACACTCAATCATCAACAATAACACTCCTATATCTGCACCTGTGCGGCCTGAAAACAATCCAGGTACACCATATCAAGCAGTTCTGAGATCAGATATTCTCCTCTAACCACTCCAATCAAACTCTGATGCTCTAATGATGCAATTGTAATATCGTAACCAATGAGGTTTTCGGAGGTTCGATTATTTCTAAGCAAGTCAGAGAGCCATTCCTCACTTTCTTCTTAAAAACTCTACGCTGATACCCCGATCCTCCATGCAACGAATACCCTGACATTTTAAGATCAGAGATTCAAAATTCTTCCTCTTCAATTAGCTCCGTTCCATCTTTGGCATAAGCTGTACCGCCACCTGTCACCAAACAACTCTACTACTAAACTACTTCTTCCTTTTCCATTGTACGGGGCCTCCCGGGACATGGTGGCAGTGTGGGTCTTGTCGCGTCGGTCATGATGCTGCTGGTTTGTACTACAATCCTATAACAATCTTGAATGCTGTGTTAAGCCACGGCACCTGTTTCTATTCCTACTACTTATTTCCATCCACTTGTTGTCCTTCCAATGATCCTTTTCACCCCTATCACTTGGGATTTATGTTTGCATGCAAGAGCGGCATCTTTTTCGCATATCGAGAAAAGACCTCAGCTAGAGAAGACATGTGTTTCATTTGGGAGCAACCATCTCGGACTGGGGACAACCTGCCCAGTTGGAGAACATCCACACCAACAACGACGTTCCAGTTAAGGTGCGCGTCGACATATGGGACAACGCGGTGTGGGGGGTCATCTCTTACACCGAACACCGAACTAGAATATAAGAAGAACAATGAAATTGAGGAATTGGTCTGGAACATCGTCGTTCAGAAGAAACGTTCAAGACCCGACGGGGAAGGCACCTCCGCCATGGTTGGTTTCTTCTACGAACTTCCTAAAGAGGATTTACTGGGGCGGGACACCGTTCCAGTAAAGCCGTACATACAAAAACCCACCAGGTGCTACCATTGTCAGCGTCATGGACATCCTGCAAAGAAGTGCCGGGCTCGGGTGGTCTGCTCCACGTGCGGGACCACCAGGCACCAGCTCACCACGTGCTCGACGACCAACAAGAACTGGGCAGCTTGTGGCGGCCCTCACACTTTTCCTCCAACCGTGAGTGTCCTGTGTGAAGGGAGGAGCGCAGGGTAGTTAAGCTGCGAAAGAAGAAACTACTGAGCTACAGGGAGGCTCTCTCTGTAGTGAAGAAAGAAGAAAAGAAACAAGAACCAAACAAGACAGATGAAAAGAAAAAACAATAAAGAACACTTTCAGAATTATCGACCTCCACCAGACTTGAACTAGAAGACCAGAAAGAAGAAAATGGAAAGTAAAAAAAAGAACACGAGGAAGATGTCAAAAGAACACGAGTACTGTCATAATGGCCATAGATGTTGACCGCCAGTAAATCTTATAAAGAAGAAGAAAGAAAAAGGAGCGGCATTCACTCTCCAACCTCTCAACTTACTATAAAAACCCAAATAGTTGGATTCCATCCAACGTCGCTGATTTGCTAGCGATGACATCACTTTTTAAGCTCCGCCCACTTAGTTACATCAAACAGTGGAAACATAATAATACCTCAATATTACAAACGCATGAAGTGTCAAAATGGGCGTGGCTTAGCGATCTCGAGACTGTAGAGTTGCCAATTAGTGAATTCCTATGGGCCTGTGTGAGGCTACCTGGTATCTACCTACCTTGGCACAGCCCACCAGCCAGAGGTTCTTGATGTTACCAGATGCCAGATATTTCCAGAATTTCAACTAAATCTGAGGATGATTTTTGGCGCAATATTGTTGAGAACAAACCGAACTCATACAATACAGGAAAGGGCCTCAACTTCCGTTGCGGTGACTGTAGTATGTGATACCGTAACATATCATGTTTTCACTGAAAAAA